CACGCCCCCGCCCGCCCACACGCCCGGGGCCCCCGCCCGCCCACACGCCCGGGGTTCCCGCCCGCCCACACGCCCGGGGTTCCCGCCCGCCCACACGCCCGGGGCCCCCGCCCGCCCACACGCCCGGGGCCCCCGCCCGCCCACACGCCCGGGGCCCCCGCCCGCCCACACCCGGGCCCCCGCCCACACGCCCGGGTGTGAGTGACACCAACAAACACACACACACAACTATTGAACACTGGTGGGACGCGAACAAGGGGGACACAGGTGGGAACAGAGTGCCCAAATGAGCCACAGGACGCTAGAAAGAATTTTTTCAGTGTCAGAGTAGTTAACAAATGGAATGCATTAGGCAGTGATGTGGTGGAGGCTGACTCCATACACAGTTTATAATGTAGATATGATAGAGCCCAGTAGGCTCAGGAATCTGTACACCAGTTGATTGACAGTTGAGAGGCGGGACCAAAGAGCCAGAGGTCAACCCCCGCAAGCACAATTAGGTGAGTACACACACACACACACACACACACACACACACACACACACACACACACACACACACACACACACACACACACACACACACACACACACGCGCGCACTACACAAACACTAATTAATTAGCCCCCGCCTTCCCTCATACCCGCACCTTCACTTTCTCTAACACTCCAATAAGCTAATTTGTTTGCCAACCCACCTATCTATAGTGGCAAGCAGCCTATAGTGACCAACCTGTATACAGCAGCCAACTCTCAATGTTGTCACACACACTACATCAGCCGACACCACTCTACACCCCCCCCCCCCCCCGCCCCACACCACAACTAACCCTTTCAGACAGTAATCCATGAGGCCAGCCGTGAGAGAGGACCACGTGTGCACTGTTTGGAGTAATGGGCTTGTCTCTCACTCCCCGACCCCCGTGTCGTAAGCCTATTTGAACAAAACGATGAGGGGGGGGGGGGCCTGTAGGTGGCAATCGGCGTGTGGAGGAGGGGGGGGGCGTCGTCAGCGGGTGTGTATGCGAGTGTGTGTGTATATGTATGTGTATGTTTGTGTGTATGTGTGCATATATGTGTGTGTGTGTATGTTTGTGTGTATGTGTGTGTTCATCTAGTTGAATTCACCTTGTTCTGCTCTACTCTTTCGGCCCGCCTCTCAACTGTCAATCAATTAGCTGTTACTATTATTTTTTCACACACACACACTCGCAACAGGGGAACTGCCAGATATTTGGAAAGCAGCTAACGTAGTCCCGATATACAAGAAAGGGGATAGACAGGAGGCACTGAATTACAGGCCAGTGTCCCTAACCTGCATACCATGCAAGCTGATGGAGAAGATTGTGCGAAGAAAGCTAGTGGAGCATCTGGAGCGAAAGAACTTTGTAACACAGCACCAACAAGGATTCAGGGATGGCAGATCTTGCCTCAGAAGGTTACTTGAATTCTACGACCAGGCAACAAAAATAAGGCAAGAAAGAGAAGGGTGGGCAGACTGCATATTTTTGGATTGTCAGAAAGCTTTTGATACAGTGCCACACAATAAGCTAGTGAAAAAGCTGGAGATGCAGGCTGGAGTGAAAGGGAAGGTACTCCGTTGGATACACGAGTACCTAAGCAACAGGAGACGCGTCAGTGTGAGGGGTGAGGTCTCAGATTGGCGAGACGTTACGAGTGGAGTCCCGCAGGGGTCGGTCCTTGGACCTATACTGTTTCTGATATATGTAAATGATCTCCCAGAGGGTATAGAATCGTTTCTCTCAATGCTTGCCGATAATGCAAAAATTATGAGGAGGATTGAAACTGAGGACGATAGTAAGAGGCTACAAGATGACCTAGACAGACTAAGTGAATGGTCCAACATATGGCTGTTGAAGTTCAACCCGAGTAAATGCAAAGTAATGAAACTAGGCAGTGGAAACAGGAGGCCAGACACAGGATACTGAACAGGAGATAAAGTACTTAATGAAACGGACAGAGAGAAAGATCTAGGAGTTGACATCACACCAAACCTGTCTCCTGAAGCCCACATAAAAAGAATAACGTCTGCGGCATATGCGAGGCTGACTAACATCAGAACAGCGTTCAGGAACCTGTGTAAGGAATCATTCAGAATCTTGTACACCACATATGTAAGACCAATCCTAGAGTATGCGGCCCCAGCATGGAGCCCGTATCTTGTCAAGCACAAGACGAAGCTGGAAAAAGTCCAAAGGTATGCCACTAGACTAGTCCCAGAACTAAGAGGCATGAATTACGAGAAAAGGCTGCGGGAAATGCACCTTACGACCCTGGAAGACAGAAGAGTAAGGGGAGACATGATCACAACCTACAAAATCCTCAGGGGAATCGATCGGGTAAACAACGATAAACTATGCAACACTGGTGGGACGCGAACAAGGGGACACAGGTGGAAACCGAGTACTCACATGAGCCACAGGGACGTTAGAAGGAACTTTTTCAGTGTCAGAGTAGTTAACGGATGGAATGCATTAGGCAGTAATGTGGTGGAGGCTGACTCCATACACAGTTTCAAATGTAGATATGATAGAGCCCAGTAGGCTCAGGAATCTGTACATCAGTTGATTGACAGTTGAGAGGCGGGACCAAAGAGCCAAAGCTTAACCCCCGCAAGCACAAATAGGTGAGTACACATACACACCTAGAAAGCAGCCCGTAGCAGCTGTAACTCCCAGGTAAAAATTTACTGCTAAGTAACTGGGGGCATCAGGATGAAGGAATCTCTGCCCATTTGATTTCCTCCGGTGCCGGGGATCGAACCCCGGTCCCTAGGTGCTAGAGTCTAGAGAGCTGTCCACTCAGCCACCCCCATCCTCCCCTACGGGGGGTGTGGCGGGAGGGCTGGGGCTCAGACCTGTGCGACCAGAGAGGGAGGGGAGGGAGGAGGGATGGAGGTGTCCACTCTGCCACTCCACGAGACACGGAGACCTCTGCACTCTCTCCTGGTGCTTGTGTACTCACTCACCATGACTCACCGGATTAAACTTGGACTCCGAGGTTAGACCTCCTGCACCCGGCCTTGACACGACAACTCAACATCAGTAACAACAACAACAAGAAGCATGATGTGGTCCACCGCAAGACCACATCATGCCAACCCATCGTCGGAAGACCTTACCTTTAAAGAACACAATAAAGTAGCCGTCACAACTGCAAGAAAAATGACAGGTTGGATAACAAGAACCTTTCACACTAGAGATGCTATACCGATGATGATACTCTTCAAGACGCTAGTGCTCTCTAGAGTGGAATACTGCTGCACAATGACAGCCCCTTTCAAAGCTGGAGAAACTGCTGACCTGGAGAGCGTGCAGAGATCCTTTACTGCTAGAATCCACTCAGTAAAACATCTAAACTATTGGGACCGACTAAAGAGCCTAAATCTGTATTCTCTTGAGCGCAGGCGGGAGAGATACATAATAATTTACACGTGGAAAATAGTAGAGGGGCTGGTCCCAAACCTGCACACAGAAATAACATCACATAAGACCAGGAGGTATGGCAGGATGTGCAGAATACCCCCGTTGAAGAACTGAGGTGCAACAGGTACCATGAGAGAGAACTCTGTCAACATCAGAGGCCCGAGACTGTTCAACACGCTTCCACTACACATAAGGGGCATAACTGGCTGACCCCTCACAGTGTTCATGAGAGAACTTGATAAACACCTCGTAAGTATACCTGATCAACCAGGCTGTTACTCATACGTCAGGTTGCGAGCAGCAGGGTCAAACAGCCTGGTTGCCTAGTCCAGTAACGAGGCGGCCTAAGCCCCGAAATCATCTCAAGGTAACCTCAAGGTAAGGTGGACTGGCCACCGAACTTTCAAGCCTCCTCGTTCCCCATCTAAATCCTCTTCAAGAATTACATTTGTGATAATGTCAACTGCCCGGTCTCTCTCATTCCCAGATGGGAGAATGTCTTCCTCTCATTCTATCACCAAAAGCGTGTTTGCACTGCTGTTCCTAGTCTCATAACTTTGTATTTGCTTGAACTAAATTTCAGTAGCCATTTCCCTTACGATCGCAGTCCCTTTATTCTGATTCTCTTCGCTACTTTTACATTTGTAACAAATTACATGGAGGCGATTTTGTGGCAGGTTGTGGTAATATACAGGACCCATCCTTGTGGCACTCTGGCCGTAACCTCTCCCTCCACTCTCACCCTGTGCTTCCTTCCTTCCGGTAACACTCCTCTCCTCCTCCTCCTCCTCTAAATTAAGTTAAAGTCTGCTGTATGGACCAGTACAAATACCCTCTACCAATCAAGAACTATAATGGTCTGCAGTGTTCGGACGTCATCAGTTGTGAGTCGTGTGTAAACCGTTTTTCATTCATAAACATGTGGTTTGGCGGGTGCATGGAATGGACTTTGGCCTTTGTTCATGAGGCCGGGCTGCTACCTTGAAGCTCCGTACCTAAGGTTCGTTACTTCATAAGATTTTGAAGATTTCAGTGACGCTCAACACCCGCCTTCTGAACTATGCTATGGAAATATTATGCCAATTTATTTTCCTTTTCCATCTCTTAAAAATATAAATTTAAACCCGAGAGAAAAAACAATCCGAGACGACAATTTTATTTAACAGAAATAATCGGACCTGATGGTGATATGAATCTTATGGTGCACTTAAAATTAATCATAATGTATATATGTAATAATAGATGCCATATACAAGTGAATATTTCAATATATATATAAAATAGACCTCAGATAAAAGTCGCCATTTTAAAGTCTTTGATATGATCGAAAATCTAATCACCGCCAACATATGTTAATCAATATTATATATTTCATCCCAATGGTCACAAAGCTGTTGAGACGCTGGAGCGATAACACAAGATAACAGGACACCAACTGCTTGTGATAGTGCTGGCAACACGTTCATCAAATTTCCTTAACATACTCTCAAATTTCTTTCACAATTGAGCCTCTTCCTCCGTCAAACTGCTCAAGAACTTGGGTGACGATACTTACATTTTTCTCGACGCTCTCCTTGATCTTGGAGCCGGCCTCCTTGACGCTGGCCCCGGCCTTACTGAAGGCTGTGGAGAAGAAGGAGCCCACCGTCTTGGCCCCCGCAGACGCCTTCCCCTGCACCGCCGACAGGTTGAAGCTCAGACCTTTGTTTGTTGTTGGTAGTGTAGGGGGTTGTGGTGGTGGTGGTGGTAGGGGGGTGGTGGTAGGGGGGTGGTGGTAGGGGGGTGGTGGTAGGGGGGTGGTGGTAGTTGGGTGTGGTGGTGGTAGTTGGGTGTGGTTGTTGTGGTGGTAGTCGGGTGTGGTGGTGGTGGTAGGGTGTGGTGGTGGTGGTAGGGTGTGGTTGTGGAGAAGGGAAAGAAGAAAACAATCATTAGTGATAATAATTACTATTCAAATAATATTAGCAAATTATAGTAGAAAAAAAACAGCAGAGAGCAATCATGGTACAACAGTAGTAGTGGGTAGTACAGCGGTACTACCCACTTCAACCACTACCACTACAGCTGTAATAGTAGGAAGACAACTATTTATACTGTTTTACTTTACAAAAAAATACAACAATTGTATTTATGAATTTACAAGTGGCAGAAGTGTGCAGCCCATAAATATTACTGAACTTGTCTAAGAGTTAGCATGCGGTCACTTACACCAACAGAACCATGGGCACCAACAGGAAAATAGGAACTTCAGACAATTGTAACACCCTTAAGGTACATTATGTGAAATAACAATTGTTTTAACAGTATTCAACCAGTATAAACAGTGGTTGTATTAGTAGTATTAGCAGTAGTAATAAGCGGTTAAACGTTTTATAACAACATAGTCAACATTTGCCACAAACACAAGGATACCACACCAACACTTACGAGACTTAACCATCTCTCTCTCTAAAGCTACAGCCCCGAATTTCCATCTCCCTTCGTGTTAGCTCAGACCCCCCGTGTTAGCTCAGACCCCCCGTGTTAGCTCCGACCCCCCCGTGTTAGCTCCTGACCCCTCCCCCCCCGTGTTCCCTACAGCACCTCACGTAATCTCGTCTCTCCTGCCGCTAACGTCATACCCAGCCCCACAATGATGCTTTCCAACTCCCTCAATACTGTCAAGGCTAATCAAATCTCACTAGATAAATGACGGACTGAGGTAATGTACCGAGCACCAGAGGGATGAGGTAAAGTACCGAGCACCAGAGGGATGAGGTAATGTACCGAGCACCAGAAGGATGAGGTAATGTCCTGAGCACCAGAGGGATGAGGTAATGTCCTGAGCACCAGAGGGATGAGGTAATGTCCTGAGCACCAGAGGGATGAGGTAATGTCCTGAGCACCAGAGGGATGAGGTAATGTTCTGAGCACCAGAGGGATGAGGTAATGTACCGCTTAACTCCCATCTGTGAGGAGAGCAGTGACCAGCAGCATCCAGGGAACACGCCACACCAGGATAACCAGAGACATAATCAACTCAGGCCTTTAAGGTGACTTTAAAGTCTCACTCTCTCAAACAATTTTAGTTGTTGCCGCCGAAGGCGGCTAGTTTATTGTGCACCCCATACTCATCCTGTGAGCGGTAGCGCAAAAGCATTACAGAGGGCACAAAAGGTTTTTATGAGACCTCATCTTAGATTATTACATAAACAATTTCATCTATCCTTCACACCTTATAGTATAAACAAGGTCCACCTCATCCTTGCACAGTGTTCCACGAGTGTGGGAGGGTGAAGGGCCGTGTGGAGGAGCCTACTCCCCCACACCACCTTCCCTTAATTCACTGAATCTTACGTTTCTGGTCCAAATTTAAGGAACAATTTGCAATTCCCAATTCCGAATTAATAATTATAATTTCTATGCTTTAATAAAGTTATTAGATATTGTAATGTTAGTCTTCACTTTCATGCAAGCCTGATTGGCCAATCTATCTACAAAGTCGGTTATTCGATGTCAACACGGGATGGACTTCACACACATTTAATCAAAAGGTTATTATCGCCGGCATCAATCACATACTATTAAAGATTACGAGCTGCATTACACACTGAGTGCTTGTTTAATGACCGAAAATAACATTTACTCACAAAATATTACTCAACCATACATATGGTGAGAGTAAGAGAGCGTAGCACCATGACCAGCAGTCACAGCTATGAAGACTTGTGTACACAATGGTTGTGTATGGTGGGCACAGTACTCGAACTGTGCCACCACTCTGCCACGGGGACCAGGACCCAGATTCACGAAGCAGTTACGCAAGTACTTACGAACGTGTACATCTTTTTTCAATCTTTGACGGCTTTGGTTACATTTATTAAACAGTTTACAAGCATGAAAATTTACCAATGTACTGTTGTTATTATTATAAACAGCCTCCTGGTCCTTCGGAGCTCATTAACTGTTTAATAATTGTAAACAAAGCCGCCAAAGATTAAGGAAAGATGTACATGTTCGTAAGTGCTTGCATAACTGCTTCGTGAATCCGGGTCCAGATTAGTAAAACCCACTGGGCATTTATTAGCAAATGCAGAAACTGTAAAAGATTTTAAACCTCTAGGAAGGTCCACATCCACTGTTTGATCAGGAAGGTCAACATGTGATTACAATTGGTATATTGGAAGACATTAACACATTACCTTAATTATCCACACAGTCACCACCACCCCACGCGGACCCCCCCCCCCCCCTCCCGTCCCCCACGCGGACCACCACCACCACCACACGGACGGCTGCACAACATCTCCAATATGCCGAGTAAAATCGATAGCCTCAGGCGACTCCTGGTGTACGTGGCAGCCACCAGACACGGCGCCTCCCTCCTCCGTGTCCCTTGTGCGTGCGTGCGTGCGCGGGGGGGGGGGGATACCGTAACTGACCCGCGTGTCTCCCGACAGTGAGGTCACTGAACCTATTTTCCTATAGGGGTGATTTTCTGGCAGCCTCGGCCAATCCTTGATACCTTGTGGTGGTTTGGTTGATAAGCTGTTGTTCTTAAACCAAATAGTGAGGTGGCCGGTGGTAGGCCGCGGGTAGTCGCCACCACCAGCCGCCGCCGCCACAAGACACTCGTTCCTTTCATTTTTAGTTTTTATATTTATTTATATATACAAGAGTTCTTACAGTCTTGTACAGTCACTAGTACACACAGGGTATCGGACAAGTCCGTAATCCTAAGTTCCCCAGAACACCTGGTTGATACCTGGTTGATGGGGTTCTGGGAGTTCTTCTACTCCCCAAGCCCGGCCCGAGGCCAGGCTTGACTTGTGAGAGTTTGGTCCACCAGGCTGTTGCTTGGAGCACCCCGCAGGCCCTCATATCCACCACAGCCTGGTTGGTCCGGCACTCCTTGGAGAAAATTATCTAGTTTTCTCTTGATGTCTGCGGTTTTTCCGGCAATATTTTTTACACTCGCTGGGAGGACGTTGAACAACCGGGAACATCTGATGTTTATACAGTGTTCTCTAATTGTGCCTATGGCACCTCAGCATTTCACTGGTTCTATTCTGCATTTCTTCCATATCGTTCACTCCAGTATGTTGTTATTTTACTGTGTAGATTTGGGATCTGGCCCTCCAGTATTTTCCCACGTGTATATTATTTGGTATATCTCTCGTCTCCTTTCTAGTGAGTACATTTGGAGAGCTTTGAGACGATCCCAATAATTTAGGTGTTTTATCGCGTCTATGCGTGCCGTATATGTTCTCTGTATTCCCTCTATTTCAGCAATCTCTCCTGCTCTGGGGAAGCGAGTACTGAGCAGTACTCAAGACGGGACAACACAAGTGACTTGAAGAGTACAACCATTGTGATGGGATCCCTGGATTTGAAAGTTCTCATAATCCATCCTATCATTTTTCTGACTGGCGCAATATTTGCTTGGTTATGCTCCCTAAACGTTAGGTCGTTAGACATCATTATTCCAAATTCCTTGACATGTTGTTTACTTACTATGGGTACATTTGATTATGTTTTTTACCCTGAATTATGTTTAAGGTCCTCATTTTTACTATACCTGAGTACCTGGAATTTATAACTGTTAAACATCATGTTATTTTCTGTTCCTCAGTCGAAAACTTAATTTATATCTCCTTGAAGTTTTTCAATGCCTTCAGCAGAGGTAATTTTCATGCAGATTTTTGTGTCATCTGCCAAGGATGACACGAAGCTGTGACTTGTATTTTTGTCTATATCTGATATGAGAATAAGGAAAAGCAGCGGTGCAAGGACTGTACCTTGACGTACAGAATTTTTAATTGCGCTTGGACTATTTTATATGATTGACTGTTACTCTGTGTTCTGTTCGACAGAAAACTGAGTATCCAGCGTCCTACTTTACCAGTTATTCCCATTAACCTCATTTTGTGTGCTATCACTCCATGGTCACATTTATCTAATGCCTATGCGAAGTCTGTGTATACAACATCTGCATTCTGTTTTTTCTAATGCCTCAGTGACTTTGTCGTAGTGGTCAAGTAGCTGTGAGAGGCACGATCTTCCTGCTCTAAATCCATGTTGGCCTGGATTGTGGAGGTCATTGGTCTCAATGAAACTGGTGACCTGACTCCTGATCACTCTCTCAAATACTTTTATTATGTGGGACGTTAGTGCAAATGGTCTATAATTCTTTGCCAATGCTTTGCTACCACCCTTGTGTAGAGGGGCAATGTCTGCTATTTAAGTTCATCTGGTATCTCCACCGTGTCCAAGTTCTTCCTCCACACTATACTGAGTGCCTGTGCTACTGGCACTTTGCATTTCTTTATAAATATTGAATTTCATAAATCTGGACCAGGAACTGAGTGCATGGACATGTTTTCAATTTGTCTTTCAAAATCTGCCACGCTCGTGTTGATGTCAGTTATATTTACAGGGGTTTGGATATCACGCATAAAGAAGTTGTCTGGATCTTTCACTTTCATGCTGTGTATCGGGGTGGAGAGTATTAATATGTTCTCATACTCCTTTTTTTTAGGATTTCACTAATTTCTTTGTCATCCTCCGTGTATGAACTTTCACTCATACGAATAGGTCCAATATTTGTTTGTTTGCTTTTGCTAAAATTTTTGCTTTTGATTTTGCTTCGCATATGTGAAGAAATATTTTGTGCTTTTTCTTTATTTCCTGAATTGCTTTCTGTTCTAGTTGGCTTTCTTCAATCT